AAAAAAAAAAAAAAAAAAAGAAATAAATTAGTAGGATGCGCAGAGTCCCCCGTCTGACTCCTCCGCTCTCATGAGCCTCAGAACAACTACGGGTGCTGGCCGAGGGCTCAGCAAGGTGCTCACGGCTGCAAAGCTGCTGGATTCCTGCAGAGCATAACAAATTCCACCAAATTGAGTGCAGGCAGGGGAGGTTACAGCCCCTAAGAGCCACCCCCTCTTTCAGAAGATCGCAGTCAGCCATCTCTGCTCATCTTCTCCCTGAGCTCTTCGTAATGTTGGGTCACGTCTCAATGTGAGGAGAGGAGGACAAAGGAGGCAAACTGAGAGGTGATGAAACAGAGAACTAAGGAGTTAAAAAATCTTCCCCAGAGCAAAAACTCGGAGATAAGCTTTGCTAACTGCAGCTGTGCATACTCAGCATAATCAACTGTTGTTCAAAACTAAGCAGGTCTGTCTGTCCCTCCTTGGTATACGAGTGAGCCGTTTTTCCCAGGAAGTCAAGGTCCAGATGTCAAGATTCAGCCTCACGAGGCCAAACGCAGGCTGAAGATGAAAACTAACCAGAAAAGTCCAGATAGTCAAGGGAAAAGAAATTCAGTCTTCAAGGCCAAATGCAGGCTGGTGGAAAGGTGCCAACCAGCACAGCTACGTGCTCTCCCTCCCCTACCTAAAACCCCAGATAAAAACCCCTACCTTTTTCCCTTTGGGGAGGTAGATGTGAGTTTTGACTCCCATCTCCTCGTTTGGCTGCCTTTCAATAATAAACCTCTTTCCTTGCCACAAGCCTGGTGTGTCAGTTTTCAGCCGTCCTGTATGGCAGGAAAACAAAGCTGTGTTTGTGTTCAGGAGCGGGGAAAGGCAGCAAATTCACGGCCTGCCAAAAGGACTGTGAGATCTCTCAATGTGAAAATTTTGCCAATTCCAATTAACTTACTCAACAACCAAAAACAAAAGAAACAAGCAACAAAAAACCCAGCAGGTTGGACAAGCCCTGGTCTGAGGAGGCCGCACTGCAGAGTGTGGCACAGGACATGGGACTAATGGCCAGAGAGGAGGTCATCACTCCAGCAGGATCCTGTGTGCAAGGCCTCTGCCAGCCTCACTTCCTCCCAACCGCGGTTTGGAGAGGTTTTGTGTCACCCAACTAGAAGCCGGGGGTGACACCTCCAAACCTGGGCAGGCCCAGGCCAGCAAGAAGCTGCTGTCTCCTGGATGGGGGCACAGCCCTCACTGCTGCTGACATCCCCTCCCACCGACGGGGTGTTTGTGGGGCTGCCCCTGGCGGGGTGAGGCTGCTGTGAGTCCTGGCACGCAAGAGGCAGGTCAGGTGGTGTCCCCAGCTCTGGGCCCAGCCCCCCAGCTGAGGCCAGCTGAGGGCTCTGCTTGGGGCCCAGGCAGAGCCAGGCATTGGCCCAGTCAGACTGTGGGCCCGTGCCCTTCAGGAGGCTGGGCTGAGCTTCCCGGAGGCGTGGGAAGTGGGCAGGCCCTCCTCCCTCAGCTGAAGCCCAGGGCCCGGGCCTGGTCTGTGCCGGCCAGGCAGCAGCACAGCGGTGTGGGCTCCAGCTCAAGCCTGGCTGCTCCTCGCTCTGCGCGTTTCCCACTGCTGCACCCTGGGCCGGCCACCTCACCTCTTGAGTGGTCTTGGGAAAGTCCCAAGAAATGTGGCGAAGCCCTGGCGGGTGCAGTCTCATCTGGATAATGCAGCCCAGACAGATCCAGCAGTAGGATGAGACCTTCACTCTCCCCACAGCCAGAAGGCCCACCCATGTAAAAAGGCCCCTGCCAGCAGGTTAGAAACTTTATTTTGCTTATAAAAATCACACATTCGGAGAGCGCGCTCGGAGCAGTACAGAAAGCACAGGACACTGTTCCTGGTTGGGCTCAGCCCGGACCCCCTCTGAAGCCCCTGGTGGCCCCTTGGGCTGAGACCCGACAGAGCAGCAGGCCTGGTGGTCGTGAAAGCATGAGGGCCACCACCGCCAACAATGCCTGACTGGCAGTGGCCGCAGGCCTCGGAGGGTGGACACCCTCACTCTGCGAGCCGTCGGCCACTGCGCGGGCCCTGGTTGTCCCGCCATACGCGGTAGTTGAGCACAGCTGCGAAGGCCAGCCAGACCAGGTACGGGTACAGCAGGCGGGCGGCCGGCAGGCTCACCTGCTGCCAGGCCATGGCCGTGGCTGCCGCCATCCCACCTGTCAGCAGGAGGTCCACCAGGGCCTGCGGAGACACGGGGGGAGCGGGGAGGGAGGCCTGAGGCTCAGTGCACCCACGGGGTGTGTCCCAGCCACCCACACACCAGCCACACTCGAGGGAAGACTCCATCCGCCCTAAGTGACACAGCCATGCCCCTCCCCTGTTCTCTCCTTCGATTTTCTCATCTGTAAAAAGGGAACATCACCCCTGCCTGACCCATGCCATGTGGGTGCGCACACCAGGTGTAATGTGGGTCTGCCTATACAGGGGCCCCCAAACCCCAGCTGGCAACCCCACCCGGCTTCAGTCAGAGCTCGCAATGCTTCCTTCACTGGAGGAAAAGCCACTGAGGGGGGACCCGGGGGCACTCATCCCCTAAGAGCTCCTGAAGACACTGACATGAGCCATGTGCATCCCTCACCCCCACCCTTAGACACTGACCCCATGTAGGATGTGATGCCCCATGGGAGGGCCACCCCTCCATGGGCTGTCTCCAGGGACCAGGGAGACAGGCCAAGGCCACACTTACCCAACCCATTTGTCGGGCGCCAAAGAAGATGTGCGGCCATGCCCAGTTCAGGGCCAGCTGCCCAGCGTAGAGGCCCAGGGGAACCACGGCCTCCTCCGAGAAGCCCCCCAGCTCCTTCCAGACCATGTAGGAGCCATACCTGAAACAGAGGCCACCAGTCAGGGCATCGATGGGGAAGAGGCCAAGAGCTTCCCTGCAGGGCAGGGAGCCACGCTCACTTCTGGGACAACACAGTGATGGCTCAGGCACGCCCTGCCACGGACTGCTGTGTGACCTCGGGGAAGTTGCTTGACTTCTCTGGGCCTTCGTTTCTCACAAGGTCGCTGTGGGGATTCGCGCTATCACATGGATAGTGCTTAAGGTGGTGCCTGGCACGTGGGACACAATAAATATTTGCCATTATTATCATCATCAGTGTCATAAAGAGGGGAAGCAAGGGAAGAGGAGGCTCCTAACCTACCTGGGGCACTGCACAGAGGACGGGACATTTGGGCTGGGCCTTAGAGGATGAGTAGGATTTTGCTAGGGAGTGGAAACAAGGATATGCGAAAGCTTAGAGGCAGGTGTGGGACCCTGAGTCAGCCTGTGTGACTGCAGGGAGGTGAGGCTGGAGAGGCAGATGGGGGCCTGGTCACGGGGGCTCTCAGGGCCATAATAACACCACCAATAATAATAGCTAATGCCCTCCAGCACTGACGCACACCAGGCCCTGCTCTAGCTCTTTCCAAGCATTAACTGGTTTCATCCTCACAGTAATGCTGTGAGGTGGGCAGCATGATCACCCCATTTTACAGGTGAGAAACAGAGGCACAGAGAGGTGAAGTGACTGTCTAAGATCTCCTCGCCAGCAGTCAGTAAGTGAAGTCAGGATTTGAAGCCAGGTGGCCAGGGCCAGAGCCCAGGCTCCTTACTCTGTGAGGGGTTGACGTTCTCAGGGCCACAGGGAGCCTCCTCAGGCTTCCACAAAAAGAAAGGCCACGGCCACATTTGTGCTTTATCAGGATCTCAGATGGGGGAGGAGAAAGCAGGACACAGGAATTGCTGGGGGCCTGACCCAGGGGACACTCAGGTTTGGAGGACTGTCTTATTCCCATCAGGACCCTGGGGCACCCGGCCTGGCCTCTGCTACCTGCCCGCTGGGTGCCTGGCGCCTGCAGTCCCACCCTGCACTGGGCTGGCGCAGAACCAGCATGCAGGGAACATTCCAGGAGGGTGGGTGCTGTTCCGACTGGAGCCACCGGGGGCGCCCTCCCCCATGCAGTACTGCCTTTCCTTCATGGCAATTCCCAGGCTCTGGTGCAGGGACTCTGGCAGAGTCCCTGCTGGCCAGTCCTGCGTCCATGGGAGGGCCCTTGTCAAACAGGGGGTCGTGAAAATTAACTGAGACAAAGCCTGGCACGGGGCAGGTCTTCAACAAATGGCAGCTACTATTATTGTTGTTGTTGTCACTGCTACTGAGCTCGGAAGCATCCACGCTGCCCACGTCTGAACAGAGCCGGCCTCACCCCGGAGTTGTGAAAACAGCCAGGATGCCAGCGCGGGGTTAAGCCATCCAGCCGCCCCTCCCAGGAGGCCGCCGCGAGGGAGGAGTCCAGCTGTGCAAGCAGCAGGTCTCCAGCTTTCCCCACCTCACTTGCCAAACGGGGCCGGAAACGGTGCCCGCTGCCCAAGGAGTTAAAACTCTGGAGGCCTGGCCTCCCTGTAAAGGGGAGCGTGGCCCGGCCCCGCCTGCGCTGGCGGGGGGACAGGCGCAGCTGCCTGAGCCCACGTACCCCATGGCCGAGTAGAGCGTGCCCCAGATGGGGCCCAGCGTCCAGTGGGGCGGGTGCCACCAGGGCTTCTGCAGGCCGGCATACCAGCGGAGGCCCTCTCCCAGGGCAGAGCGGGAGCTCAGGAAGCCCCCCAGGCTGGGCGCCAGCGTGAAGGCCATGGCGCGCACCCAGGGCAGGGCCATCGCTGCTGCAGTTGCTGTTCTGGAAGGTTCTGAAAGAGAAGACAGGGCTGGAGTGAGAGGTGGGGGTGCTCCAGAGGAGGCCCCTTCAAGCATTTCTTGAGGACCTACTGTGTGCAGGCCCAGGGTCAGGCTTATCCTCTCCTTCAGTGTCACCGCAAGTCCTGAGGTGGGTCTGTTACCAGCCCCTCGTCACTCATTGATCCATCGATTGACTGAACGTTGGGAGGTGCAGAAAAGACGTGCGAGGCAGGGAGGGGCTGGTCCACACCGGCGGCCCTGCCATCCCAGCTGGAGGGTCCAGTGGACACAATTCCATCCAAATTCTGGCCCCCATAGGAGGCTGCCCTGACTGGCAGGAGCCTCTGAGGTGCCCCCATCCCCACAGTCAGCTCCCCGTCAGCTCCAGCCCCAGTTGCCGGGGTCCTGTGCCCTCTCACCCTCACCCTCGACCTTGGGTCTCCTGGCAAGTGACCCCTCTTCTCTGCCACCTCCTTCAAGGCCAATTTGGGTCCCCTCCACCAAGAAGCCTTCCCAGCCCTTCCTCCCAGGCCGAGGGCCAGCCGGGGGCTCTGCAAGGCCTGCGCCCATCCACACCCTGCGCTTTAATGTTCTAGTCCTTCTCATTCACTCATTCATCATTCATTCATTCAACAACTGGTATCAGACAGAGCTCGGCTCAAATCCCGGCTCCCCACTAACTCACTGTGACCTCAGGCAAACCACTTCAACTCTCTGGGCCTGCCTTAGTTTCCCCCTCTGTAGAATGGGATATCAACATTGCCTGCCTGGGCCCAGCCCAGTGGGGGAGTGTCTCTGTACACAGGTGTTTCACCACCACCCAGCAGGCCCACCCTAAAATCTCTGTGTGCCAGATAGGGAAAGCAGCCTGCCTGGGGTCACACAGCACTCTGGGGCCAGACTCTGCCCAGGTCAAAAAGCTGCTCCTACCCTAACACTCAGGGCTACTGAGGTGGTGGGTGGGAAGGGACAGGAGTTAGCAAGAGTTCAAGGCTAGCGAGGGCCCTCAGCAGCGCTGAGAGGCTGGCAGGGCTCCAGGCAAGGAAGGCCCCAGACTCAGGCCGGGATGCTGCCACCCCAGGGCTGGGGACCCAGTCATCAGGTTCCCCATCAGGCTCGTCAGCCACACAGCCCCAAGGTCTGCACCGAGGACCCACTAGGCGCTGAGCAGCATACGAGGCTCCCAGAAAGCTGAGTTGCTCATTGCAGCTGCGAGTCCAGACAGACAGCAAGGAGGACCCCCAAGCCTGTCAGTACCCCCGACTGGGCCTCAGTTTCCCCATCATAAAATGAGGGGCTGAGCTCCCACTGACACACTCTGATCCTAGCTGGAGAATCTGGGGGTGTCCGTTTGCGTGAGATAAGAAACCACACAACCCATTCGGTTCAGCAAACCTGCAGCACAGCCTGCTGGGTGGGGGCGGGGGACCCAGGGTGGGCAGAGCGGGAGAGGCCCTGAGAGGAGCACGCACCTCAGAAAGGGCCCCCTGACCGGGATCAGGGAGAAGCCAGTGCTGGAAGGACACAGGGACATGGGGGAAAGCGGTCGGGGTAACAGGCCGGTGAGTGTGGCTGTAGGCTGGAGGGGTGTTGGACCGAGGAGCAGACGCAAGGAAGAGCCTGTGCTCCATCTGGGGGCAGCGGGAGCCACCAGGGCTTCAGAGCAAAGGGTGAAGGCCACCCCTGGGGGGAAGGGGCAGCTGCGGGCCTGGGGCTCCATGAAGCCCCATGAAATGCAGAAGCAACCTCAGTGCCCAACAGCCGGGGACTATTAATGGCTGGTCAACCCCCAAATCCAGCTTTGAGGACTCTAGTAATGTGAAAATTGTTCTCAACATAACATTAAGTGAAGAAAGCAGAATATAAAATTGACTTTAAGAAAAAATAGATAACACAGATATGCATTTTAAAAAGTCTAACAAATCCATGACGATGTTAGCAGCCGTCATAACCGTAAAGCTATTTCCTGGGGAACAGCTGTATGCCCGGCCCAGGCAGAGCCCGAACCTGAATGTGGTCCTGCATCCTGCCCTGCGAGGGAGCTCCACAGTCTCATTGTAAACAGAACGATCAGAGAGTGTCGGCATCCGGTAGATTCCAGCTCTGCCACCTAGTGACTGTGATTCCTCGCTCCCTTTCCTCGCCTGTTGAAGGGGGGACGGTTACCCCAGCCCCCGCGGTCTCTGCACAGATGAACTGCGATGATGAACCCTGCCGAGGGCTGGGCCTGTGACACAGGGGCCTGGGCAGTAAATGCTCCTGTGTCTGTCCCTCCTCCTCCCTCCTGCCTGGCCCTGTGGCCTCAGGGTGCACGGCACTGTTCCTGGGGTGGAGGTGAGGGTCTGATTCCCCCCAGTATGAAGGGCCACCTCCCCCGGGGCCGGGACTGCACTGGGCCCGCGCTGCTGTCAGGGGGGTGTGGAGCTCTGGACCCGGAGCTCCGGGACCCGGCCACCCAGCCGGCTCATCGCTGTGTCACCTCAAGTGAGCCCCAGCCACCTCAGCCCACTTTCTCAGCTACACAATGGGAACATAACCCCTGCTCAGCCTGCTAAATAAATGTGTTGAATCCACAGCAAGAGGACAGTATTTAGATAACCATAGTGAGCTATGCTCAGTGCACTGGGCTGGGCAGGTGAGGGCCTTCACACCGTACTGACCCTCACATACAGATAGGGAAACTGAGGCCCGGGGAACAGGGGTCAGGCACTGAACTGGGTAGACCTTAGGTCTCCCCAGGGTGACCATATGTGCCTTTTCCCAGGACAGTCCCAGTTTATGCCCACTTTGTCCCAAATGAACGGCCCCCCTCACTCTCAGAGGTGTCCCTTTTACAGGACATCAAGGTTAATGCCACCAGCGTAAGACACATGGGCATCATGAAGCCCGGACACGATTCCCGGAGAGGGACAGGCTTGCTGCGGCCCTAAAGGTGAAACCCCAGTCTAGTTATGAGAAAACCTCAGACAGTCCCCGATGGAGGAACGTCCCACAAAATAACTGACAGTACCCTAACACTCTTCACAAGTGTCAAGGGCAGGAAAGACGGAGGGAAACGTCACCGACTGCAGGAGACCAGGAGAAGTAACAACCACACGCAGTGAGGGACCCAGATGGGGTTGGAGGCAGACTGAACACATCACCAGGAAGACTGGTGGGACTCGAGCCAGGTCTGTGGTCACTGGCACAGGGTTATTAGGGAAGCTGGGTGAGGGGAATGTGGAAACTCTACTACTGTCGTAACTTTTCTGTAAGTCCAAAATGAGTTCAAAATAGAACATTAAAGAAGAAGTACCCTGATTTGGACAGTGACTTGCACAGTCCCTACTTAGGTGCAATATTTGTTACCACATCAGTCCCTGCCGCCGGCCCCACACCCACTCTGCCTGCCGCCAAGGCCCCTCGGGGCCTCCACCTCCACCCCATCACTCCCACCCCAGACCCTCAGTGGCTCCAGTCCAGTTTTTTTTCTATTTTTTCAAATTGAAGTGAAATTCGCACAATGTAAAATTAACCATTTTAAGGTTTACAGTTCAGGGGTGTTCAGTCCACTCCCAGGGCAACCACCATCCATATCAAGTGCTAAAACGTTTCCATCCCCCAAAAGCATCCCTGTACCCATCAGCGGTCACCGCTCACGCCTCCCTCCCCAGCCCCTGGTAACCGCCAGTCTGCCGTCTCTCTATGGATTTCCCTTTTCTGGACATTTCAAGTAAACGGAATCATATAATATGTCGCTTTCTGGTCTGGCTTCTCCCTCTGAGCAACATGTTTTCGAGGTTTGCCCACACTGAAGCGTCTCCATGCTTCTCCCCGAGGTCTGTGGGCAGGGGGCTCCTGTCATGCTGCCACAGCACTAGCCGGTGGCTGGGAAGTCCCCACACAGCACTCGCCCACTGTGCCAGCCGACTGGGCCCTGGAGTCCACCATCCAAGTCCCCTCACTGTGCAGAACAAACGGACGGCCCCAAGGAGGTGGTGGCTCCCCCAAAGCGTCAGTGACAGAGTAGGGTCTGAGCCCCGTGCTCCTGCCCCCACCCCGGGCTGTCCCCATGGGCCTGGCTGTGTTTATGCTCCTCTGGGGCTTAGGGGAGTGGGGGTCCGCGCAACCGGAAGGTCAGAAGACACGGAAGCCAGATGCCCACGTGGAGAGCGCCCAGCAGGGGGCCTCTGGGGGACTGCCCGGCTCCTGAGTCATCTGACTGGGGGACCCACCAAGCTGAGTCACACTGGGCTGGGCTGGGCTAGGCGGCTGGCCCAGGCAGGCCTGAGAGAGATCCGCTCCAAGATGGGGCACCAGGGAGGGCCGAGGAGGGCCAGGGAGCACCCAGGGCCAGCAAGGGGCTCGGGACCCAGGCAGAGGGGCAAGGCCACCCACCTGCCCTTTCTATCTCTCTCCCTCAGAAAGGGACTAAGAACCCAAACCTGGGCTGGCCTCCCATTTGCTTGGGGACCCCAGGCCAAAGCGCCTCCCTGGGCCTCAGTTTCCCTTACGTCAGGTGGGTGTAACCTGCCCTGCCTACTTCTAGGGGTCGTGGGGAGACTCAGTGAGGACCAGACGAGTGAGGGGCCATGAGTATCAGTGCTGGGGGCCACTCACCCCCTTTTCTCCGAGGGAAGAACGGGCTCATGGTGCAGACACAAGGCTGAGGAAACGTCAGCCAGTCGGCCACTGGACACTAGCAGATGAAAAGGCTTCCCAGAAGGCCCTGCCTGCACGGCCTTGGCCTCTCACGGGGCAGTGCCTCCGAAACAGAGGCCGAGAAGGGGGCAAAGCAGAGGCTCAGGACCTGGGGTCAGGAAAAGGTTCTAGTCTCCTGCGGAATGAGCAGCAGGGTGGTGCCTGGTGGAGCATGTGCTGGGGACCAGGGTGGGCTCATCCTGATGGTCATTACTTCACTTCTCCTCCACAGCGGCTGCAGTGGGGAGACCCGATGCTGCCCTTCTCGGGGCCCTGAGCCACACGGCCCTCTCAGCCTCCACACTGGACTCATTACTATTCCCACTGT